AATTTGATTCGGGTCGCAACCAATTCGGTTCGTGACCAGAGTCGCGGAACGAATTAAGTTTGTTAACCGAGGTACCACTGTATAAGATGGTAGGCACAATATTGTGATCCAGGTTTTATCCTTTTTTGTACAGGCATGCAATGTCAAGGCATCTTCAAAAGGGGCAGGGCTTGGATTGCGATGACATGCCTGCTGTCTTGCAGATTTTAATCCCCCTCCGCAGACACCACCGAGAAACAGTATGGGATGGTGATGGTCCTAAGACTCCCTCCCTCCCTTCCTTCCTTCCTTCCTTCCCTGACTCTAAGACACATACACAAGTGTACTTTAACCAAATCTGTATATTCAAAGTGCTCTTCCCTGAACTGATAGAGAAGATGTGTTTCTCTACATTTGAGTAGGGAAAGATTTCCCAAGCATATTTCTAATTAGGGCTGCCTTTTCAAATGACTCTTCTTCCTACTTTGTGCCAAGAGAGGCCATTTCCCTCCCAGCTGGGCAAGGAACACTTTGAAATGAACCTGCTTGCCATAAACTGCCATGGATCATAAATGACCTATTGGTTGCCTGCTCCTTTTACTCTAAAATAGTGAATAAAGTCATTATGAACATTAACATGGGAGAGAGACAGAAAAACTGGGTGTATATATAAGCCAGGGTAGCTCTCTTATTTCTTCTCCAGCACCCCTTTGATAGGTGCAATGGGATAGCTGACTGCAGCCAAAACCATTTACAATTAAATGGAAGGAATTAGTATCTTCAATGGATTAATCAATCAATCATCATGCCACTTTACTGAGTGGAAGTTTGATTCAGCCTCTTTTTACATCACTTTTGCAAATTGGGTAAAAGATAAAAAGTGCTTGAAAATTCATATGCATTATCTCGCACACAGGATAATGGGCACAAAACAGGACTTTTACAAATACTTTTCACTGGCGTCTACACTATATTACACTACTCATCCATCACTGTGTTAGGCTAAAGAAGTATTCTATTCATCCCTTGAATGGGGCTTGGATGCAACTATCATAGCTACATCTTCTTACATTGTTCTTCATTAAGAAACAGAGCTTGTGAAATATAAAATCTGGTACAAATCAATTATTGGAACATGTGGGCTAAAGTTCAAAAATTTTAAGACTGGTTGATAAAGTCAAGAGGAATTTTACCACGCTCCATATAATTCAGATAGTTCTACAACTTTGGTAATATGATAGAATGATGATGAAAGATGTAGGTAGGTAGGTAGGTAGATCTGATAGATAGATAGATAGATAGATAGATAGATAGATAGATAGATAGATAGATAGATAGATAGATAGATAGATAGATAGATAGATTTAACCCCAGCATGTCATTCAGCTCATTTGTGAACTACTTCTTCAAACCAGTTTGTCCACTTTCTCTACAGAGAGAGCTTTTACATCCTGTCCAATTCTGTACAAACGTGACCCATGGCCAGTAATAGTATTTAGTAGCATTACTTTGCAAGCATTGAACACTGAAGTAGTTCTCTTTCAAAGGTATTTCGATAAAAGGTAAAAAATGGAAGGGCATAACTCAGGGAGGAAGAAAACCCAAGGATAGACAAATGTTTCAGCTACATAAGGAAATAAAGGGGAAAAAAAGACACCTCAGAACCTAGTTTGGGATTTTTAATACAATGGAAGAATTCAGGGTGATGTGCATTCTTTCAGAAGAGAGACTCTCTAGAATTACCTGTGGTGTGATTTTCTAGAAATACTCTTTTCACATTTTCCCTAATTCATATTCTTACTGGGTATAATTTTCTATTATGATGTTAGGTAAATGTTAGTGGTTTGGAGTAAAAAGATCTATGTAGGAACTGCTAAGATTGAGTTGTTAGTATCCTGATTCCTCAGCTCCAAGAAGCAACTAATTGAACATTCACCATAAATCTGGGCTAGTGCCTGTTTTATCTTCGCAGACCATTTCAGTTCTTTAGATTTTTATAGGTGGGAGCTATATATCCAGCTGCTTCCGGTATAAGTTGTTCTGCCCAGCCATCTAGATGCAATTCTGTTTAACCAGCAGACCAGCATCAGCTTTTCAGAACGTTATTTTCATATCAAATAGCACAAATTAGAAGAAATTTAGAGAAATACATCTCTTCTCCACAGTAAAATGTCAAGGCAGCAAATCTTTTCATTGCAAGTTCAAGGTGAAGGAAGTGGATGAGGACTAATAGCAAACTTACATTTTGGCTGGTTAGGGCCAGTCAGTTTGACACAGCAGCATATAATTCCCTCCCCCCTCCATTTTTTCCCCTGTATGGCCCTCCTTTTTAGATTGCAAAAGGCACTGGCAACAATAACAACAACAGGCATCTTAATTAAGCCTATTCTTTGCTGATAAGAGAAAAATGCAAATACGTTCGTGTGGCAATCAGAAAAGCTGCTTAAATTGGCGAAGTCTTGTCTTGCGTGATGACTATAGAGTGTTGGGTGCCAGAGGAAGAACCGTCTCCTCCCTTCTGATCCATCTGGTCTTTGGGAATGTATCTAACCACAGCAGAGATGAGCTTCCCTCGGAAGTTTTTGCTCAGGAAGTTGTATAGGATGGGGTTGACCACACAATGGATGAGGGTGAAACAGTCTATGATATCATAGAAGAAGTACAGGAAGTCAGTCACATAGCAGTGGAGGACGATGCTTGTCCCTTCAAAAGTGAGAAGCAGCAAAAATAGGTGGAATGGCAGCCAACTGATCAAGAAGACAATTATGTACGCATAGATGAGGTGGCAGTTTTTTCTGCCCTCCGGTTTGTTACAATGCTTGATGTGTATGGCAGTCAGTATGTTGAAGACTGCCATGATGGAGAATGGGATAAGGAACCCAATTAAGGCAGTAAGGATGATGAGACCGAGGGCCCATTCACTGTAGGTCTCCAGGGGGGCCATAAAGAAACACAGGGGCTCAATGGTATCAGTTAACTCCACGTGTGCCACCTCTGGCAAAGGGATGATGGCAGCAAAGGCCCATATGCAGCAGCAGGTGATCCGTCGTACAACATGCTGGTGTTGGTGCCAGAAGTGGGAGGAAGTTGTCAAGGATACATACCGATCGACGCTGAGGCAGGTGAGAAAGAAAATACTGCTGTACATGTTGGCAAAGTAAAAGTAGTGGGTGAAGCGACAGAGGAAATCTCCCCAAAGCCAAGTGTAATCAAGCATGACCTCCAACATCCAGACTGGTAAGGAGAGGATCATCCCTAAGTCTGCAAGGGCCATGTTGAAGATATACAAGTTGACCAAGTTTCGGTGGCTTCGGGTCTGCCAGTTGACCCATATGACCAAGAGATTCTCCACCAATCCCACCACAAAGATGGCGAGATAGAGGACAAAGAGAAATACCCGCTTAGTGTTCTCATCTAGTCCCAAATCACAGTCACTGAGTGTCTGGTTGAGCAGATGGAAGAGCTCCGTCAAGTTGTGGTACTCTTCATAGACAGACAGGGGGGTTTCTGCCTCTCCCATTTTGAAAGAAAAAGGTGAACTGCAAAAAGAAGGAGAGGAAGGATGAATGCTAGAAGTTAGAATGAATTCTTTCTCTGAACCAAGATCCCTTATACAGTAATCTGATATTTTAATAGCCATGGGTTCTAAATCTGTGCAGGTTTAATTTTATGAAAATATTGCTCGACAGGACTCCCAATTTTTTGTTTTGTGTTTTGGCCACTATTGCATATAGTATGATGCTGACTATTTATATACTGATCAGCCTATAGTCAGACCTCCTGCCCTGATCTTATCCCTTCTGTTATGTTTCTTCAGCTCCCAATCTTGATCAACAGCTCAATCCCAGTGGCCACATTTTGTTCACAGGAGAATCTGACAGAAAGAGTCAGAATGGCAGGAACAAGCATACTGGTTGTTTTTAGGAGGACTAGAGATTTGTGTTGCAATTTAAGGAACAGGAAAAGGCAAATATCTGACAGGCCTATCAGGCCTCTCAATGGGCTCCATGTGGCCTACAGAATGCTGTGGAGTTATCATAGGTCAGTGAGAGAGCCTATGCTCCATGTACCTTAATGTATCTGCTTCCATCCTTGGAATCTCCAGTGAAAGGATTTCTTTGGAAATGATAGAATGATCTGTAGTAAAATGTTCTGTTGTGAGAACTGGCATTGTGTCAGACAGAGTTGCCACTTTGTTTTCCTGGTTAGGTCCCTGTAAGTATGTACCTTTGCAATTATGCACACATTTAAGGACAACAGGTTCCTTTACCAATCAACTGCAGATGAGGAACTGTTCTACATACCTGTAACCAGCTGCTCAAATTTCAGAAAGATGAGCACATTTTGTTCTGTTCTAGGAAATCTTACCCCCCCCTCCCCCCCAGCGTCCTTGGTTACAACACTAAAAATGCAGTTGGATGTCAGGCTGCTCAACACATCAAATGGCAAGATGGAGTTGCCTGGCCTGGCCTGGCCTGCTTCCCTCTCCCATATTCATTTAATATGAGAATGCTACCAACGGAACTTTAGAAATGAGCAGATTCCATTTTTTTGTGGGGTGTGTGTGTGTGTGTGTGTGTGTGTAAAGGAGAAACATAAAGGTCATCCTTTAAGTTCCCATTAACAGAACTATTCAAAGGAACCCTAAGTAAGACCAGCTCTGCAGGAGATTTTTGTAGAAAGAGGTTACCTATATACCTAAGGAAGGATAGATAATACATCAAGACCGTCCATATGAAAGCCAACCCCCAAGATGCCTGTTTCCTGCTTCCTGTCCCATTCCACTGACCAGGAGATAGATGTCACCTTGTCAAGAGGAGACTATGCAAATAATAACAAACTGAGTTCACCCAATACAGGCTGAGGCAAAACACCCAAGAGAACAAAGTTCATTTGCCCCCAAGACATGGACTAGCCCTTAAGTCTAGTCCTAAAGTCAAGAATACTACCTGTTGCTACAGTCAAGGTACAGATTGTTTGGGATTCATTAGGTGTAGAATGCATTAGAAATACTTTACAAAAAGAAGAGCAGTTAGTGAATGGATTTAGGTAGATGTATCTTGAGTCCTGGGTTAAGTCAAGCTTTATTTCTGGATATCTGCTGCCTTCTCTTGTATTCAAAGGCATTATTAATGGAATCTATAAATGTAACCTCTTCATTAAAAAATGTAACCTTTTCATTATGCATTTTTCCACTCCTAATGGCTAAAATGCACGTCTGACATTTGGGTTGGATCTGGGTAAGTGGGGTGATTTCGGACAAACACATACAACACAAAGTAAGGTCATGAAGAGGATTCTGTGTATGGGCATGCAAGCAATTGATTTTATTTCCTTTTTGTGTGAAGTGGAGATGAAAGGGTTTTTGTTACTGCAGGATTTGTGGCAGCTGAAGGACAGACAGTGGTCTTTTTGAGCCTTGTTCTTAGCATTCCAAGGTTGAGTATTCTGAGGGCCATGGATTTTCTTCAAACTCTTTTTGAAGCATTGGAGAGTGAAAATATTGGATATCTGAAAATGCACTAACTTAGCCTTGATTATGCAAATAACATACATTAATATTTCAACTGAACTCTGTTGAAATGCCAACTTTTCTATAAAGGAACAGTATGAAATGTAGCATGATGAAAAGCCTACAGGTTTCTATCAAAGAATGTCCACCACATTCACAAGGCTACAGCTCTTCAAATGTGCTGGGAGAAGCTGTAACATTTCAGCCAGAAGCAGCACAAAAGCAACTTCGGTTTTTGTAGTGTAGATGTGCCTTTAATGTTTTAAAATCTCATTTAATGCAAAGAATCTCAGTAATGAAATACTGTGATTAGATAATTTAAAAATGGTAAACAAAACATATGCGCTGTAACTCTATGTGAATCTGTATGTGCCTCGAATTGTATGTTCAAGGTGGTTTTTATTTCAAAATAAATTTCTAGATGACTTGCATCTGTAGGGGATGGGACCAGATGAATTTTGATGGACCTTCATATACTGGGGCTGATAATATATTTTCTAAGTGTAGCCAGAAACTGTTTGGGAAACAATAGTGGCATTTTGAAGAATGCAGTTAGCTGCACAACTCTTAGAGTGTTGGACTGGAAAATCCTTGGTTAAAATCCTCCATTGGCTACTAAAAGATCACTTTATGGTCTCATGTCAGGGACAACTCTCAGCCAAGGTTGGTGTGAGAAAACCCTGGAGGCAGAAAGAGGTTTTATCCACCCAGTTCACCTTGAAGAATTCAGAGAAAAGGGTGCCAAGAAACAAATATAGTCAATAAAATGTGCCTCGTGGTTCCTGTGAGTGCCTCACAAAGTAATGGGAGTTGGGTTAATATTGACTAAATTGGCCCTGTGTGCTAGTTTTGAATATAAGCTGCATTTCTATCTTGATGCTGGTTTTGGAGATGTGTGGAAGCTGAAGGGATGAGACTATAAAGCGGCCCAATTATTTAACAATGTTTAGTAAGACCAATATCCCTTGGCAAACATTGACATCATACTGCTATAGTACTCGGGCAGCCAGGATGGTTCTAGGTAGATTTTGATGGCAATTATGTCTTTGCTGCCTGTAAATGTTTGACAGAGTATGGATCCAGGTAAGTTGACAAGGGACCTGATGTATTGATGAAAACCCTGGACAGATTCTAGGAAAAGAAATAATTGGCAAGGGGAATGTAAACTGGACAGACAAGGAAAGATGGGCTGAAAAAGGAGGTGGATGAAATAATAGGAGAAACTTCTGATCTAGATGCAGAGATCTAGATGCAGACGCATCTCTCATTCTATCTGCAGAGATATTGACTAAATTGGCCCTTCCTTCCTTCCTTCCTTCCTTCCTTCCTTCCTTCCTTCCTTCCTTCCTTCCT